TCTTGAGTGGTTGAGCGACTGTTGGCTCGCCAGGAATGACTCGGCTCCATAGAGTACGTAAGCAAGCAAGCGGTATTGGAAATGTTTTAATAATAGATGAGAAAGTTTCTGCTTAACAAACCTTGTGACAAGCAGTATATATGTCAACGTCTGGCCAGGACTAGATTTAGACGTGGTGGGGCCCTAAGCTATGCTGTGGTATGCTACAGAGACCCCATAACAATTACATATTTTTTTATGAAGGGCATTATTAAATAAGTAGTCGTATTAATATTTTAAATTTTCTATTAGCACTAACGAAAATGTAGTGAAAAGCTAATAGCTGATCTAGCAGGAACAATTATGCTACTTTTGAGTTGCTTAATTTCTTTAAGACTAATAGAGGTTTCAGAATAAAAAACATAATTTATTTATTGATTCCCCTCATACAGCTTATGTTGGGGTGCCTCGTTGATCAGCCGTCCAGCAGACTTTTGGTACAACAGTTCAGGCCAAGAAATTATAATTTATATTATAATTATTGGGTAGCGATTCCCAGGTTTGTCTGTGAAGGTAACAGTTTTCCGTGGTTCTTAACTGAGCACCACATAATGGAGACGTATGGAAGAGCAGAGGTATACCACCTCTTCTTAATCTCGGTACTACATGGAGGTTAGTAATTAGCTTCACGCCCCAGCCGCTTTATCCCAGAGGAAGTGGCTTCGATATCCTTCGGATAGGAGACTGGGTGAGCCTTGGCATTGTCTGTAGGACATAAATCCTACCGTGGTCCTTTCCGTAGTCTGGTCAACCGAAGGAAGTCCATATAATCAAGTAAACGTGATCTTCCGTAACCTGATAAGTATTTTATTAATAGGATTTCTGTTCCTGCTTATATTCGTATGGTAGCTTAATCTGCGTCTCGTGATACCTGATAAAAATGCGACGCTCGTCAATGTCTTCACCCACTCTTTCATGGATTATTGGCGTTCCTGCCAACCTCGGTCGCTGATCTAGTCAAGAAATCCCCCTGACTTTTTATGGAACTCGAAGGTTCATTACCACATTCACAAGTGCCCAACTTTGTCCGTTTTAAAATAACTAATATCGATCTCTGGATATATCCAGTTTTTTTAAACGGTTTTTTAACACCAAACAGGGCAAAGCCCCAAAACTCAGAAATCCATATATCATCGTCAGAACTTTTTAAAAAATGGACAGTTTTTTTGTGTAATCTCATTCTCGCGGAGCTAGACCTCACAAATAAGAGTACACCTCACACTTTCTGAAGCTTACTGGCTAGATGGTGGTAGTCTGTACTGGAAGAGTAATTTGTTGAAGTTTTATTTAAATAAATTACTTTTTGTTTAAGACACGACGCAAAGTAGTGATTTAACCAGTAACATAAAAATCCATCCATGTGGCGATCGGGTGGATTCCGTCATTACCCACACAGCATTATAACAGTTGTCCATTGTTTGTATTTTTTTATCTGTTTATGGGTGAACGAACACATGACCGGCGGCTACATGAAGTTGTGAACTTCGCTCTGTTCATCAACAGAATCACTGTTTAACTGAGTGAGAGATCTCGAACCGTTTCTTTGAACATAGCCACTGCCGTACGTACATTGTCTTAGATGAATTAATTATTCCACTACTATGTTGGTATCTCCAGTGTGTTTCTATAATGGTATTCACGAAATAAAAAAAACATTATGTTATGCTTTACTGTACACAATCAATGTCATGACACGAAACACATACATAGATATCAGCATTGTAACAAAAGAAGGTTATGACATTACAACAACAGCTAGCGACGAGCGTAACAAGTTGGCTAACATTACCTGGCTGGCTAATGAAGGATGCATTTTCTCTGGCCGGGACTGCTGTGTTTCATTGTTTAAGCAGTACCACTGAACCATAAAAGTATGGCAGACAATTTTATTGAAGTGTTAGCCGGGCTAACACGGTTAACACTACGAAGATTCGTGTAACGCTGTTACATATCAGACATAAATTACCCTACTTTATTTTGAGTAATTCCTGTCACACAGAAAAATGCAGTATCGCCAACACTTCCAACAAAAATACTAGTTTCATACCCAATGCCCCCTTCTAGCCTTCGTAGCAGGGTGCTTGGACACAGGGACAACTGTATTTTTTGTATCTTAGTCTATTTAACGATGCCTTTTTAGTTGTATTAGATTAGAAAGGAAGTGGTCGTACTGTCGCAGAATTTGCTAGTAGGTACTAAGTAAAAACACGCAAAGCCTTACACAGGATATTGGACTCTGGGCTGAGAACAGAACGCGGGACCTTCCAAACCACGATATTCACTAATTACTTTTTGCCTGAAGAAGAATTTAATTCTAATGACCAGCGTAGGCATAAACGATCTACCAGCTTATCTGCATTATAAATTAAGGACTAATCAGCGAGGCCTATAATATTATACCTGTTCTATGCTATTCTGATACCAGTTGCAAATGAATTTTGTGATTAAAAAAAAGAAAAAACTGCGAGATTACATTGAAAATTCTTTTATGTACTAACTGAGGTTTACTGACCCCCGGTTTGAGGACAGCACACGACATTGAGAAGTGGTAAAATAACGTTTCGTGTGTGAAATAAATATAACATATTTTACGACGTATTAAACTTTGTCCTATCACGAATCGCATTTTCGTTTGTCAAAATATAATTCAAGATTCAACACCACCCATGTATGAGCCGGGATAGCTCAGTCAGTATAGTGACTAGCTACGGGCTGGACGACCGGGGTTCGATCCCCGACGAGGGCAGAGGATTTTTCCTCTAGCCTCTGCGTCCAGACCGGCTCTGGGGCCCACCCAGCCTCCTCTACAATGGGTACCGGGGTCCTTTACCGGGGGTAAAGCCGGCCGGGGCGAGATGCTGACCACTCACCCCCATCTAGTGCCGAGGTCAAGGAAGAGAGTAGCTATACCTCCTCTCACCCCAACGGTTGCAAAGCCTGTTTACCTAGACCTATTACATACAACCTTCTCTACTTTGACAGTTCGTGAATAAATATTTGTACAGATGGGTTTTAGCCGTAGTCTGTGTCTTAAAACACTTTCACAAGACCGGCTGCATTCAAAATTTCGTTTTCAATTGAGTTGGAATTTTAACATATCGTTCATGTATTGTAGGAGTGGTTTTATTCAAGTTCGCAATGATTAAAACAAGTTGCGTGTGAAAATATCCTGCTTATTAACAGCCCCCACTCTCAAAATTATAGTTACTGTTGTCTTAAATTTCGATCGTCATTAGATTTTTTCTCATCATCACATTGGTCGCATGATTGATCTGTAAGCAAACTTCGGACACAAGTTTTGAAGCTTGCTGTAGTAAGTACTATTTTTCAATCCTCTATACAGGGTTCATGTGATATGTTCCACGTTTTATCTTCAAAATGTAATACGTTGAAAATAACTCATGGTCAGGTTTGAAAAGTTCATATTCATAGGAAATTTTTAACAGAAAAAACTGTGAGAGTATAACGTATTATCATTGGTCTACATAGTCTCGTGCTTTTGGATTTGAAAAATTCTACTGAAATCAATGAATCTATGTTTGTAACATAATATTGACCTGTTTGTAAGTTTTCGTTCAGATACGTCACTAAAGGGGTAACCTATTAAGGCGAAGGAATTTTTGAATTACGTATCTGAAATTTTACTGTCTATGCCCCATTTGACATCTAATATTGAATGTAAGAATTTCAGAGAAAATATTGACAATAACCTTGAGTAATCCAAACATGTAGGCATTTCCTAACAACGTTCGTGTCCACGAATAATGACGACAGACTTGAGCGTTGTCGTATTAGCTACATATTACGTTTCAGTTACGAACTACTTACATAACTAACTTTTTATGTAAATACGCCCTGTTTCCTATATTTTTGACGGCTTCTTGATCGTCGTTGTAGTCCTTGAAAACTGGTGGCATTATAACGCACTGTTTCACCGTGTCAAGGCTGGGTTCTTCCAGAACCACTACAATTCAGGAAAAACTAGCTACCAACTGAATGACATTTTACGAAGGGCGAACAGCAATATTTATACAGCGTGTGGAGTAAAATTAGGTAGTGCAAATAAAATATGGAACTGTATGTGTAAATAATTATACAATGTCCTATTATGGTCATCATACTAATAATAATTTCCATTTCCTTGTTTTAAACGACTATAAAGTTGATTTTACTGGTGCTAACCGAACTGAAAATATTGAACGAGCAGCACAGGCTATGATAAAGCCACGTTTCCAAGGACCCTATCAGCAATATTTTCGTAGCTCACAACAGCTATGAATATTTTAACATATTTTAGATTGATCATTTATTAGTTATCAGAAGAAGTTTTATCTTTCTCAAAGAAAATCAAAACGAGTTCGTTATCTTACCTGTAAGTGCTTCACCTCTCGATTTCCTAGGTGACATTCTTTCCTGGGACTGAAAACCGCCTGTCAGGCTGATGGTAGGAATAATTTCTCCTCAGTACCTGGGGGCAAAGTTTAAGTTTATTAACTTGTGTTCATTTATTCATGAAGCCTTGCCCACTTAACACTGGGTTCTTGCTGTCTACACCTTGACTAGAACCGTTTTCTCTTAGCTTTATGCCTGTGGGGGGGATTAGGGAATTCCAAAATAAGTTGCGCAGTCCGAAGTTTAAAAGTAAATATTTTGTTAGTGTGACAGGAAAATTTCAATTTGTCGCTCCCAGTGGTAACACTGGACTCTTGTCAATTCAACTAGTCGGTTGATTGATTTAGTTTCTTCGTGTTCGCCCTGTAGTCACTTGTTTATGTAATATTCATAATTACGTTTTCAACAGTGTAGCGTGTGTCTATAATTGAATAAAATTTTCGAACGCAGTCGAATGAAGAAGTTGAACAGGCATTTCAGGTTCAATTTCCCGATTTGCCTTACCAAACAAGTCAACAATATTTCGACTTGTTCATCAACATCTCAGCCCTTCGATTATGTTGAACCGGGTTGAGTTAAAACTTCAACCGGGGGGGGGGGGGGGGGGGG